GGGCTGCAACTTTTTGGAGCGAGAGTAAACCAAAGTGATACACTGAGCTTCTCTTTTATTGACTGTAACATTTTGCTTGTTTCAGCCTTCAGCTTATTTAATGTTACTCTTGATTTATTCACGTTGAATTTTTCATAAGGTCCGTCATTGAGATGGTCAATGGCCTTCTTTTCATAATCTGCAGTATTCATGACAACCGTGATATTGCCTTTATCTGCTCTTGTAATTATAATTGATTTATCCTGTTGTAGGTGTCTTAATGCCAGTTGTTCGTTTTTATTTATATTCGGCGCATTTGGCTTCTGGTTCAGTAGTACTGCTGCAATTTTGTGTCTTATGACGTTTGCCTCTTCGGCTGTCACTGAATTTAACGACGGTTCAATTGCTGGAACTACTTCAAAGGCTGATAAACGCCTTTTGTTTAAATTGAAATTAAGTCCCCTATTAAGGAGGGATAGTTCATAATCTGATAAATTTCTGTCAGAGAGATTGACCACCACTTTGTTTTGTTTATTATACCTATTGATAGCTGTTTCTTGATTCACATGACAGGACAAACAATTTAAAACAAGAGATGTACTTCTATATATAAACATACTATTTTATTTATTTATTTATTATACATGTTGATGCCTGTTGCATGACTCATGATTGGACAAAGTTTAAAAACATGAGTTGTTCCTTTTATATATAAACCTCTGTTATGTTAATTCGATTAATTTCCCTGAAGAAGTTCGGACCAGATTGCCGAACGAAACGTTGGAATTAATCATTCAATTTCGCTGAGATTTTACAAATATAATTTTATAAATGTCTACTTCTCACTTAGCGCTCAATTATTTTGCAACTATCCGGTCAAATCTTGATCACAGTTCATATGAATAACAAGTTATTACTTTCAGCAAGCAAAAAGACACGTTTCTGTGCCACCATCTTCTAACCGGTTCACCACAACCACCCATATGAACAACCGTATTCTCACTCTGAATGACTTTGATTCACTGATCTGATATTCTCTTGGACCGCATCACTCCGCGAAAACTTCTTCACAGTGATGCATTCTAAAATATGGAACAGCCCGTCCCTAGAAGTCAAACCCTGCACTTCAGTTATAAGTTTCGAACGCTCTCTGTACAGACTGTTTCACTCTACTGATTATATTAATAAACTATTTATTTCTAGAACGAATCAATTTCTACAATCGTATAATGCCTAAAGAACGCGTAAAACTTAACTAACTACTCTTTACAAGATGAACAGACTAGCCGAATGGATGAATAAAAAGACTAAGAGAATATAAGCATATAGGTTTACTAGACGGCAGTGTACAATGAATATTAACATGTATCTCAACTACAGGAGGAACGGACGAGGATGTCAAATCGAGAATCGGGAAGGCGAGAAACACATTCATCAACCTGATACCAATCTGGACATCTTCGTCACTCAGCATCAACAACAAAATTCGGATTTTCAATACAAACGTCAAGTCAGTCAGTTCTTCTATACGGATCAGAAACTTGGCGGGTGACAAAGAATATTTCCAACAGGTTGAAGACCTTCATCAACAGCTGTCTTCGTTCTATTCTCAAGATCAGATGGCCGGACAGAATCACCAACAAGAAACTATGGGGACAAACGAAACAAGAACCAATCGCTCAACAAATATGCAGGAGAAAATGGAGATGGATTGGACACTCGCTAAGGAGGCCGTTGAGTGACATCGCGCGTCAGACCCTCGAGTGGAACCCGAAAGGGAATTGGCGAGTGGGACGTCCAAGGGTGACATGGAGGAGATCGTGTGAGGAGGAGATGAAACAGTATGGAATGACATGGATGCAGGTGAAAAGTTCAGCACAAGACAGAAGCAAGTGGAGGCGTGCAGTTGAAGCCCTATGTTCCACTAGGAACCCAACGGAACATCAATAATAATAATACTGATATTACAGTTCTATCTGTGTCCACGTACTTTTTTCTCCTGCCTAGTTCTTTGCTGCTCGCCTCTTCTCTTCCAATTGCCTTGCAGTAGAAGTTGCAGTGACTTACAGTAAGATTGAAGCCACTTGCTGATATGTACCACACCATCCTTCAAGCTGTTGGCTAGTATTAACTCACTACGCTGTATAACATCCTATACGAGCAGTATCCGTGAGCTAAAGTAACAATGCAACTGTTTTTAGTTAGTTGATTTGACCCACAGTCATTGCAAGGTATTTTGTAAATTATATTATTTTGTCTAATCAGGTCACTCAACAGAACCTGTCCTACCTGAGTGAGTTTGTAGGTTTAAATACCACCACCTGAATTCCTGCTTTATAGGGAATCCTACACCTAAGGTCGCAAACGCCTCTTCTTTACATGGTAAAACTAGGTAGATGCCTCATATTCTGTCTTACTTATATTACCATTATTAGTTCCACTATTATTTTTGCTCTTGACCTTTTTTGATTTTCCGAATGAATTTTATAGGAAAGTTGCACGCATAACACCAACGTTTCTCTTCTTCTGTCTGTTTCATAAACGTTTGTTGATGTAGAGTTATTGCTCAGTTTGTCGGACACTTATAACTAAGCCTGCCTTCATAGATAACGGATGAGGTGAATTAAGTGTCTAAACATCTATTAGAATTCGTTGACTTTTTTTATAAACTATGAAACTTTGCAAAAATAATATCTTCTCCATAATGCAATCACACTCTACCACAGTGCCCAACTTCTATTCTTATTCCGAATATTCTCATCACACTGACTACTTTTCTTAACATTTTCAGCATTTTTTGTGACTGAAGACTAGAATGTCTGACACAGAAATTAATGAAAGTAGGCAAGAGTCAGCAGGAGTTAATAATCACTTCAACCACTTCTGTTAATTAGTCCATTCACTAGTGTTAAACAAAGAAAATATAATCAAAAGAGTATGTGACTTTATTCGTCATTACATATTGTTGTTCAAAACAAATGATAAGTCAGGTGTAAAAAAGCTAAATACTCTGATAAAACTCGAAATGCACAGACTAAATGTTTTATACAACCAAAGATTCTTGTCATGTAAAACCCCTTCTATAGTTTATGGAAACTTTTTAAAGAAATAACTAGCGGTAAGCGGTGTACTTCTGTCCAATCTCTTAATGTTGATAATCTTAATAAGTCTTTCATACGCTCCTCTGTCGATATCCTTCCTAATGATACAAATCACATAGACAATAATTTTAGTGGTTTTAATACCCTTGATGTGCTTAAATGTCTCTGTTCTCTTAAGCCTTGTTCCTGATGGCGTACCTGCCATTGTCCTCAGGAACTGTGCTGATATTTTTTGTTACCCTCTTACTAATATTTTTAATGCTTCCTTTTCCAGTAATGTCCTACCTTCTGCATGGAAAAACATTAAAATTATCCCTATACCAAAACAATCTTCTGGTACCGATATTAAATTTAGGCCTATTGCAATTACTTCTCCTTTTTTAAAATTGATGGGAAAACTACTTTTACTTCGTCTTGAACCTTCATTGAAAGCTTTTAATGACCCTAAGCAATTTGCATATAAACATGGTAGAAGTACCTTGGATTCTGCGGTAGTCTTATATCATAATGTTGTTTCTTGTTTAGACAAAGGTGCCAAATATGTTCGTGGTGCTTTCCTAGACTACACATCTGCGTTTGACTCTGTACCTAGGGGCCTTTTATTAAATAAGCTCTCCTTGACGCACACAGCATCCTGGGCTAAGAGTTGGTTGCATTCTTATTTTTTTGATAGAATGCAGTATACTGCATATAATGGCAAATCTTCTTCTGCTTTGCTTACAAAAGCCGGTGTTCCTCAAGGTGCCGTCCTCTCTCCTTTTTTTTCTTTCTTCCTACACGACCTGCCACATTTAAACGAAACTAATTTTGTCAAATATGCTGATGATCTGACTGTATCACAGCCTATCACTTCCGAGTCTGACTGCTCCAAACTTAATAGCTTTCTGTTGGACATCACCATGTGGTCTAAGTCAAACGGTCTTATGTTAAATCCTTCCAACTGTCAGGCAGTTAACTTTACCTTCAAGCATCGACGTGACATACATGAACTAGTTAGTTCCCATGATGCCTGTAGCATAGATGGCACAGAAATTGAAACCAAGTCAAGCATTAAATACCTTGGATTAGTTCTTTCCTCTGACCTTTCATGGTCATCCCACATTTTATTGATCTCTAAGAAAATGTTTCGTCTTACCTTCTACATTAAAAAGTTAAGACAACAAGGTATCAGCCAACCTTTAGTTCTGCAATTTTTAAACTCCTGTATTTTACCTATTGTACTTTATTGTTCTCCATTAATCTTTCCTGGGCTTCTTAAGAAAGACTATGTCATATTACGAAGGGTATTAAGTGCTATGAGTAGGGCTTGTGGTTTGCCACTGCGTGAGGTCGCCAATACTATAGTCGAGAGACACGTAAATTCCTGTACAAATTGGGCAAAGGCCGTACTGTCAGACCCTCTGCATCCTCTTTATTCACAACTATTCCCTTGTATCTCATCAGGTAGAACGAGAAGTCAATATAAGAAATTATATGCTCGTACCACTAAGTACAAAAATTCCACAATACCGTATTTAGCCCGTATTTTATGTGATGAAGACTCTGTTAGACGTGAAACATATAAGTTACTATGTAATTAGCATAGTGAATCGACCCTTTCATTGTTCATCTTTCTGTAATTCTATGGTGTCACCCTTTCTATCGTTTAATTATAACTTTGCTATTTTTATTTTAGTTGTTATTACTATTATTGCTATAATTTTATACTTTATGCGTATTTTTCTCCTTATCGTATACTGTAATTGCCACATAGCTCCTATAAAAACGTTTTGTTATCATTATTATGTATTAATTATTTGTTTATCTATTTTTTGTTGTTGTCGTTTTTGAGTAAATTAGATGCAACATTGTACTGAATGCTGAAAATTCCTTGCTGTATCATTAATACTGCTTTTGGAATAAAGCAAAAATTATTATTATTATTATTGTTATTATTATTATTACATATATACGTGAACATGATAAAAAAGAGGGGAGAAAATGCATATTAGTTGACTATCTGACAGCACACAGCCACATCATCATTAGGAGGACAGCACAAGCTTGTTACAACGTATAACACAAGCCTGGGAAGTTCTCCCAATATTAATGATAATATTATTAATATTAATAATATTATTAATAATAATAATAATAATGAATAGGGTAAAATATAAGAAAATCTAGAATATGCATAAACACATTGAGTATGAGATCAAATTGAATGCATTAGATAGATTCGTCAAAAGGCAACTGAGCATGGATTTCACAAAATCACAGTGTCAGTTTCTTGGAAGTTCAAAAGACAAAAAGAAAAACTAAATGTGCAGTGCACACGTAAACACCCATGTAAGCACACAGAGAAAAATATATATAAAATACAAGCAAAACGTGAGAAAGCAGGGAGTTTTGCACAAAATGCTTTTCAATAGACATGACTGCATATTATTTATTGAGTATTTCTTTTTTCTTTGTGTTTTTGCCTCAACACACACACACACAGTTCGTGCTTATGACATTCATCATTTTTAGGTTTAATAAAAAAGGGGAAAATATTATCATACATATTGGAAGACAAAATGTCGATAAAGTTTCATAAACTCTTTTTAAGATATAGAGTGGAAACAAAGTTTTCGGTGGGATATCTTATAAGGATAAGAATAAAAATAAGCTTTGATAGTGTGGAAAAATTCCCATATTATGAATTAAAAATCAATCTGAACGAAGAATATTCTTTTCAATAATTTCTCTTCAGGTTCTTACAATTATAAAATATAATATTTGTTGTCGTTACAAGAAGGCCACCTGAAGAGAAATTATTGAAAAGAATATTCTTCGTTCAGATTGACTTTTAATTCATAAAAATAAGCCCCAATAATAGACATGATGCGCATATGGCAACTATTTACAACTTGTATCATTTACTTTGTACGCCTAGAACTCGCTGCATGGCGTTTGTGCGCTTGAGAAGAGCAAGAAAAATTATTAGTATTCGAATCACTCGGGTGCGTAGAAACAGCCTGAGATCTACTAGAGTTCATAGCATTAGGCAGTGCATTTTGATGGACTTTCCCAAAAGGCTTTTGAAAGTTACTTTTCCTATGGTTACGACTTTGAAAGGTTGTACCCTGTCCTGGGAATGTAGTCTCTCGCATACTCGTACGGTCATCTTTGATTGATGTAGCTGCTCCTGTGTGTTTTGTAGAGTTACTCACATTTGTTTGTGAAGGTGTTTGTGTACGTACACAGCGTCGTTTACGACCTTGATGCGGTTTACGTGATGAACACCCAGACGAATCCTTATTAACAGTTGAAATGTGCTTTTTTCCCACTTGATTAACGGTAGTTAAGGAAGCACTGAAATAGATTGTAAAAAGTATCTACACATTAATAACAGCTGTAGGTTTGAAAACAACACAGTAGTAACTAAAAAAATAACTCACTGTTGGACAAGATAATAACCATCGAAGTAAGATGCACATTTACCAGGGCAAGGTTTTCACACACAAACGCAGATATCATTGATAACGAAGGTTTCGTTAAGTGTTTGTTTTGAAGGACTTGATTGATTACAGGATTTTGTCATGAGCTGACATCGGAAAACCAGCTGGGAGTACCGCCAGAAAGCCGTTCCGCCATAGACTGAGACTCCGCTTCAGCAGGACGCATCCACCCCACCGAGGCTTGAACCCAAGCCGTTCCAGTTACAAGGCGAGCTCGTACACTGGCTCTATTCAGGTAGGTGGTTACCTGGGATCTAGTGGGAAGTGGTGACCAGTGAGGTACAACATCGAGTGACGACAAATACTCGCCACTGGCACTATATCCTGGGTAAATTTACAGAATTTGGAATTCACGGACTGACTGGACACTGGATAGGCAGGTCCCGGTGGCTCAATGGTTGGTCGAAGAGCTCGTTCGCCTCATAACCGGAGGGCCGTGGGTTCGAACTCCAGTGGGGCGGGTGCGTACTACTGAGGCGAAGTCTCAAGCTAGGACGAAACGGCTGTCTACCAGTACTCCTAGTTGGTTTCCCGATTGTTCCCTAACCGACGTCAGTTTATGACAGAATCCTGTAACGAAGGTACGTCTAGAATAAATACATAAGACAGTTTTGATGGAAGTAACCTTATCGATATCTAGTCTTTGCTTATTTCTTCGTAGGAATAGAGATGCAAGCCATAAAACATGGTTATCGTTTAAAAAATGCTTGAGACTATTAATGTTTACATAACTTACCGCTCAACAGCCGGTATATTGTTTTTCACAGATTCTCCGTCTTTAGCTTCTCCTCCATTGCTATTTGCTTTGAATCCCTCTTCACCTGAAGAATCTGAACTAATCACCTCAACGTGATCATCACAGCTACCAGAGCTACGAACACTTGGAGTCTTTCTAGCTGATGCAACATCTTCATCAGTAAGAAAAACAGTAAATGGTTTTCCAAACTTGGGTACAATAGGAATTCGTTCGGGAGGCCAGACAAGCGGAAGTGAAACACCTGGTGGTAGATCCTCAAGAGCACCGGGTGTTATTGATAACTGTGCAGACGAACTGTCCTGTCGGTCATCTTCCTCTAAGCAGCTTCTACGCATGTTGTTTATGAAGCACCGACTAACCCATGTAGCCGCAGAATAAACAGATTGTGGCCTTTTAAATGGTGGCAACGTTCTGTATATCAGTGACCGATGCAAGCGTCTAGCATACTTCATAATGTTTTTGCGGAATTCAGCTGATTTCTGTAGGGCATTCAAGAATCAATTTAACAAAAGTGGTTAATAGTGATAACTAAAGTGCAAATAAAAACTGGGAAGATAAACAATAAACTTGAAGTAAATAAAAAATTTTGCCGCCATCAGTTTACCTAGTACAACACAATACTATAATTTTAACAGAATCATTAGATAACTTGTTAGACTCGGCCAGATGACTAATTTCAGCATGAGCTGAAATCGGATAGATAACCATTGGAAAACCAGCTAGCAGTATTGTAATGAACAGCTGTTTCGTCTGCCTAGTGCTTGGGACTCCTTCGTCAGTACGCACCCACCCAACTGGAGTTTGAACTCAGGCCCTTACGGTGTAATGGTCTACAAGCACGCCTTATAACTGGAAAGTCCACAGTCCAAACCATGGCGTGGGTGTGTAGTGCTGCAGCAGAGTCCCAAGCAATGGGCAGACGAAATAGCTGTTCACTCCCAGCTGGCTTTCAAATGGTTTTCTAATCGGTCAGTTCGTGATGAAATCGTGTAATCAATCCAATTCAATCCTTTTAAACCAACAGATGAAGATTACAAATTACTTGAAGTTAGCACATAAAATTCTGAGGAAATTAATTATACTTGAAATGAACATACACACGTTAAAACCGACACTAAATATGCCTCCCACTTAATAAGTAATACTTTTTTGAACTAAGTGGAAACCAAAACCAGACAAGTGATTTCTGGCATGACTGGGAAAAAAACAATTTTGTTCAGAGGAAGGAATCCAACATCCGGCTATGGTCGTTAATCGCACAGGGTCGGAAAAACTACTACTAGGTCAAAGTAGGTTATTGTATATGAATTTCTAACTGATATGAGCTTTAGATGGAATTACTCAACACAACGGAAATACTTATCATAACTCTATTACACACAACCAGAAAATACAGTCAGGTTTTATTTTTATGTCGAATTCACTATTATGCTGACGCACAGTTCGGTGAAAAGACAACCTACTGGTTAATAATAAAAATAATTATATATATATATATATATATATATATATATATATATATATATATATATAATTTTTTCTTTCATATTGTTGGGAGACAGTTTCAATCTACTTAACATTTACATCTTAAAGCCGGAATTAACTTTATCCGGAAGTACTACTCATTTAACAATATTGGTGGAATAATGAGCTCTGCTGAGTATGACTATAATTACAGAATATTATGTAAGACTAGTGACAGTCAATGACTCATTGAAGTTTCGCTTCTAAAATGAAATACTCGAGCAATTTTCTCGTAAAGTTTCACCGATACACAAAATGTCTAATGTTTCTTGGTGGTGGTATCACCTTTCTAATCACCAAAAAAATACCTTTATGACATTCGACACTTCCCGTAAGTGTCCAGGTCATGTCACTAGGATTTCTAACTATACTACGCACTACATGATTTCATCATGAGGTGACATCGGTTAGAGAATAATCGGACGAGCTCGACCGCCTTATGACCGGAACGTCGGGTTTTAACCCCGGTGGGATGGGTGCGTCTTACTGAAGCAGTCTCAATCTATGACAGAATGGCTTTCCGATGGCTCTCTATCCGATGTCAGCTCGTGATAAAACCCTGCAACCAATCAGTTCCCTGCAAACCAAAACTCGTATACTACACGCTGTTGCTTCAAAGTCTTGTCTTCTCCGATCCAAAAGCCTAAGACTGACTTCTGATTCCGAAATCATATTCTTAACATACTAAGGAATTAAAAATTATGCAGTTAGTGCTTGGTCTTTTCTAAATGCCGAAAAATTAGTTTCTATGATGCATTTACCCCAACCGATATATATACAAATATCAATATCACATTACACAGTAGAGAAATATCTTACTTTGTGAATAGAAATAATTCGCCCAAGTACTGTGGTATCGTTTTCAGGATGTATAATACGATAATGAGGTAGTATAGCACTGCTGAGGACAGAGTAAGCATGTTCAAAAGATCGTTTAACTTGATGAGCGCAATACGACCGACGTCCTACATCGTTACCTGTAAGGGAAGTTTTGATAAGGAAGACGGAAAAAGTGAAAGTACTAACAAGACATTGCTCTCAGCCATCTTAAAAACAATAAACGCCTATAACACATGTATACAAGATTGTTCTTCTTTCATACAGTATATGGTAATTGGAGTTTTAAAATTTAGTTATTCGTATGCTATGTGCATAGATAGCGTTAAAGAAGATAGCCGATGACGTGGCTAGAATACGCATCTAGCATACCAAGCCATCACTACTCTCCACCTGCAATGTCTCAGGTGAAATTGAATCGGTCTGTGAGTGTAGCAGCAGCCCTCGTAGTCATTCGAAAACAAAATCATATGAAGAACAATGCTAAATGTTGTTAGTGCAGCGAAGATGCATAAAGCTTGTATTTGTAACAGACACTATGACTAGGAGAAACTACTTCACATGCACGCTTTGCGTCAACTGTATTCCGTAGTGATACCTACTTTTCCTGCATAACAGTTATCACCAAGATTCAATACTTCGTAAATACTGCAGAGGTAACTCTCCCTACTTCCTGTTGTGCAGAAAGAACCGATTTTCATCATACAACCTACAAATGATAAATTCAACACAACCCTTATATCGTGAATTTTTACTCTTGCCTAAATGGAACTGCTTAATCATCATTAACAACTCGGTGGTGGTCGATGACGTTTAATGGATAATATCGAAGACTTTTATTATGGGAAACACCACAGTATGTCGGAGCTTAGCTTTAGTTGCAACGAGTATTACGGTTGAACGATTCAACCGGCTAGAGAAAAATTTTCGAAGACTAAGTATCAAACAAATGACCCATTAGAATTCATCAGTAATCTATATATTACTTATTATTGTTCCCTTGGATTTTGAGCAGAATATAGTGCTACAACGGCACGTCTACACTTTCTTCTATTTTCTACTTTCGTCTTTAGTTAACTGGTCCCACGATTTCCCACAATCTCTCATCTCCTCCATGCCATTCCCGCACCGGCAACCTACTCGTCGTTTCCCATTCGGGCTCCACTCGACCGACAGTCTGCATTCAGCACGAAGTCACTCGACGGTCTCCTCACTGTGTGCCCAATCCTTCGCCATTTTCTTCTGCATAATGGTTCTTAGTTGGTTCGCTATCATTGTTTTTTGTTGTTGATTCTCTCTGGTCGGCCATCTGATCTTCAAGATGAAGTCACCGAAGGCAGCTGTTATTAAAGGTCTGCAGTAGTCTGTTGAAAATGCTTTTAGTGACAATCATATCCATATATATCATCCATATAGAAGCATTAACTGACTTCATATTTGTGTTGCAAATTCGAATCTTGTTTCTTATGCTGAGTGTAGATTTTCAAACTGATTTCAAAGTGATGAAGTTGTGTCCTGCCTTTCCAATTCTGTCTGGTTTTGACAGCTTCATCCGTGGTATTTACCTGTCGTTGAAGCGACGCTTCTTAAGCAGATAACTGAGGACAGAAAGTAACCTCTTTCAAATTTCTCTCCTTTAATAGTGATTCATGCTGGTTGTTTGGTCATCTTCATCACCTCCGTCTTCTCTACATTCACCTGGAGTCCTGTCTTTGCTGCCAGTCTCTTCAACCAGTTTGTTGGTTTTCGTCCATACGTCTTCGAGTTTGTGTGACATTGAACCTAAATAGTCTGCAAGGTTCAAGCCTACTCGGGTTTTTGTCGGTCCAACGTATTCCTGTTTTCTCGTTCCTTAAGGCCTGTCGCATGATCCGGTCCGCCAGTCCGGTGCAGTAAACTATAATGTTAATAAAAACGGGCACCTTATAAGCTTAAACGATCTTAAGATACTCTAGCAGTAATCGACGGAACAGTAGAAGCAAAATAGTCACCTTCACGTTTGTCTTTAGAGGACAGTTTTAAAGAACACTTCTACAAGTATACACATTTCAGGATGGCAGTGTAATTAGTGCCTACCTTTTTACGTTTCCTATTAAGGTAAAATGTTTCCAACTCTTTGTGACTTCCCTTATGCATCAAACTCATATGAGTCCATGTTACTATTCCTTCTCCCTCACATTTCTGCTCATTTAAGAAGACTTGAATCCCTTTTTTTCTCTCTTTTGTCTACCATTGTGTGCCTCATGGAACGTGGCAACTTGAACTAACTGCTGCACTTCCGTACTAAGTTCCATTTTGAAACCAGTAAGTCATGTTAGAAGTCACTTCACTGGGACAGACTTATTGAACATCGGGCTATGAACCACATTTTTTTGTGTGAGGGCTGATCATGCTACCAATGGATGACGTAACCAGAGTTGGATACAAGCTCACTGACTCATCGGCCAAATAGTGAGTGCTTTAACCAATCAGTTACATCTCAAAGTAAGACGTAATTAAGATTGTAGTTGTTCCCATCAGCACAGAATGGAAATTAATGCACTAATATAAAAGACAACCATATTCTGCTTACTGATGACTACAATTTACATTATGGTTACATCCAACTTGAAGACGGCTTCTGAATTGTGTGGAAACCGACAATTCTCCCTGATGATCTAAAGTTATGAAAGAAACCACTGGGAAACTATCGTTGTTTATTTAGTAACCACATTGCAATCTGAATAATTTCCAGATGTCCGAAGAATGAACGTGTGATTTAGGAGAGACTAAACAAATTCATCTCTCAACAAACTCGCCAATATAACAATTAGGGGAAATGTATTGAGTGAACAAATGAAACGGAAAATGTACACCAAAGCATTGCGAGACTTCAAAATAGTTAACACTTACCCGGACAGAGCGGATCTTCAATACAAAAAAGCGATGGACGGAAATTCCCATCCATATTTCGTTGCACAACCTCTTTTCGAACATAACAACCGCCATTAGTAACGCGGATGGCCGTATTCATATAATTAAAAAGTCGTCCATAAAGTTCAAAAAACTCCACAAGCAAGACGCCTAAGTTGATATTATCGATCGGGACGCCGGGACATATTGTGTGCTAAAATTAGTATAGTAAGCGAGTTAATCAAATTCATCACAAAACATTTCTGTTGTGCAATTACAATAGAATACTGAAGATATTCAAAGACGAATTCTTGCCTCCAAGTGATTAGAAGGATGCCATCATTAATCCAAAAGTGAACTTATCAATTTCACCAAGGACTACGGTCCCATTCACCCGGTCAGTTTCCTTGTTTATTACCATGAGAATGGCAATCAGTGTTTTATTGAGGAATAGAATCACTATAGAACAGGTCATTCTTGTTTGATTAACCACCTACCTTTCGCCTTGAGAAAGTTGATCTAACTCAGTCAATGCTAATATTCCTTTGAGTGCGACATTCATTTTGACAAGCTTTCTCACTCACGCTCCCACAGGGTTCGAGTGGTCCTGGAATCAATAAACAGCAAAAGTGTAGATCGACAACTTTCTCAGGGATGGAAGTAAGGCTAAATGTTAATGGGATCCTGACTTCACGGTAAGTGGTGAAGGTCGGTGTCTCTTAAGGCGTAATCATAGATTCCTTCCAACTATATGTACGTGAGATAACGTTAGCAAATTATTCATCCTGTTTAGAGTTCACCAATGATATGGAGACGTGGAAAGCTTCACACACTACTGACCGATTTCCTTTGCAACACCTAGCTTTATTGAATGACTAGTGTAATGATTAGACGTTTAAAACTTGAATGAGTGTGTTGACGAGTTCGAAGTTTAACACGTGGAATTATTCAGTAATTGACTTTCTGCAACCAGATGCAAATACCTATCCACCCATTTTAGCCAGGACAACAATGCATCATCAACTTCACGAGAAGCGTGACTCATAGACGACCAGTTCTGGACACTTCAGTTCCAAAATTACTTCGCCTGCCAACAGCAATGAAGTACGGGGACTAAGCTGATTGACTACGCAGTGTTTGTTAACCATGACCTGGAGCTCACAACGTCTGTGTGGGGTCGAAACATTACTGTCAGCTCCCTATAGAGCATTTGATGTATTTCCCAGCCTCTGTTATACATGCGAAACAGAATGGAAAGTCTCACCGGAGAGTGTAGATCGGTCATGGGACTCTTAAGCGTTCTACTTGAGGAGGCTGCGCTCATCACACTTATTTACAGTCATCTACGCGGTTGTTCTTTTGTCATTTTATTTATGTAATGACTCAAGTAATAATATATCCCGCTTATTTCCCCTTTCCTCACTAACGACATCGCTAACTACCTTCGTATCAACCACTTCGGCAATCAACTTGTGAAGCGAAAAGTATCGTCTCCGTAAATAATTCATAGCAAGACTGCCCCAGTGTGTCGGCAGCATAGTGGTTAGGACGCTCGCCGACCATGCACATGGTCCGGGGTTCGATGCCCGGCCGGCGCACTCCTTTACTTTGCTAAGCCAGAAATAATGCTGGTGAAGAGGAAAGGTTGGGCATGAGGCTAGCGACCCCATCCTGTAAAATAAGCATTGCTACAGAAACTTCAAGCCACTAGCTTGAAGCCCTATGTTCCACTGGGGAACGTGAAGGATATAAAAAAGACTGCCCCTCCATTTCTTAGCTTAATCAACAGATAATTACATACCTTAAACATGCCACGATTAATATGTATATCAAATCGCACCAGTTATGTTGTCTTATATAGGTGCGTCAAGTGTGCCAAGTTTGTGATGGCAGTTACTAAGATTTCAAGACAATCACTTACTTGTAAAAAACTAACACACATCAGTATAAGTGCGTAAGAACTTAATCCGCCTGTCCACACTTCATTCAGACCCCGTCGACGCAAATATTGTTTCAATACGAACACCAGGTATGGAAGGCATGGATAAGTCTTCATGTAAGACAAAATTAATTCTGCCGCTTTGACACTATTCTTCATGTTGAAACTAATGTCAACGCGGAGATTTGTTTCTCTGTCCGTCATTTTAACAATCGGGACCTAAACATTGAATGAGAGAAGCATAGTAACTAACCGTAGCTTTATCCAACACCGTGATTTTTGATGAAATACCACTTTTATATAATGCGTGTTTCAAAGTGTGCAATGGTAAAGCATCCCACTCACCAAATATTACCATGTCAATGTCACTAGGAAGGGAATAAACTATAGTTGAATACCAACCTTGTAGGGAGATACAGTCCCGTTTTGAAACTTCCAAATATATCAACCTTTAATTCAAACTAGATTCAGAGTTAGAAGACATACTTTACAATCCGGCCAAAGGCTTAATACAACTTCTCTGACTCTGGCAACGACCATTTCGCGAACAAACTGCTCTTCCGCTGTCGGAGATATGTAATCCAAGAAGTCCACTATTTCTTCGTGCAATCTGAACATATAACAACAAGTGGTCGCATACCCAACTGCAGTCGATTTGTATTCTTTTCTGTCTGGTTTCCAAGGAATTCCAACTTCATCGATATCTTTAGGCAGTGGTATGCAATACATTTGGTTATTTATAATACCTACACTGTAGTTGAGATGATCGCTGCCTGAAACAGTTTGAGTTGCCACGCCTTCCATAGTGTCAACTCTAATCTCAGCAGCACAATCTCAGGTTGTACCCACCGTACCAATAAACGCGCTATGCAATTTAAACGCGGGTACTCAGTTTCATAGAAAATTGAGCAAATTGTCGAATTTGAATAGGCGATATCTCACTTAGAGTTTAGCTGAATATCCAATATATTGAAATCATCTGAATTTCCCAAGTCAAAATCATGACTTCAGAACTGTTTGTTTTACCTTAACCAATAAAGGAGGGAGGTGGCGCATGCTGATCAGTAGTTATGGCGGTGGACACTAAGGTGAATCGCCCCATTCTGAAGGAACAGCAATATGCAATTTGACGGCTCAAGATTTCTATGAGGGCTTGAATCTTTATCTTGAAAAAGATAATAATGATCGCCTAAACAGATCATGCTTCTACCTTTAAACTTATACCATTCGCTCAGCCTTTTGCTGAGATGCGACCACGTGGGCTCTGCACAGATTGATGGGGCATCTTATAAATTAACCTGCTTTCCTTTGTCGTATCTTCGAATACCACTTAACAATGTCTCACCTCATTCATTTTCTAATGACGTCTTCACTTGCTCATTATATTCCTTACCTTACATTTTATAGCTCTTTTAATGAATTTGATTCGATTTATTTTATTCCTTTTTTTGATTTTTGATTATAGCTTGATTCGACACCGTATTTTTGATACGAGTATGGAATTTTCAGCATGTGATATCGGTAGCCCAAATTTTGCAGGCCGACCATTGATATCGGGTGTGCGTCGGCAGGGGATCGAACCTCGGACCATGTGCATGGTCGGTGCCAAGTTCTATGTTGAATCCAGCAGCAGCAGCATGGTCGGCGAGAGTCCTAATCACTGTGCCACCGACGTGCCACCAACCTATTCTCTATAGGGTACGACTGTGCACCAAATACACAAAAATGTATGAAATAAAAACAACTGGATTGTGGATAATTGTATCAAAACCAAAAGTGGACATCATGATAGTAAGACCGATATGAGTAGCATTATACATCGCAAATGAACTTTGTCAGCGTAGCGATTATATTCTCCCATTGTATTTCCTTTATGAATGCATCTATTAATGGTACATTGCATTTACCTATTTCATTACACTTTAATGATTCACCTTAGCACCTTTACTTTTCTAAAACAGCTTACTATCCCTTGTGAACGTTGTACTTACCTCAATATTGGTTGTTTATCGTATGCCTACAACTACGGGTTGAAAACGAAACGAAGTCGATTTCTTTGTGCAACCTGGAGGACTGCTGTTTAATTCAATAATGATATGACATGGGTCAGACAATGAGTGTATTTATATATATATCAAATATTTAGCTGTTCAAACATTATTAACTTGTAGGTAATCTACCATTTGACATTATATCAAACTTCATCGTGCCTGTAAAAACGGCGTGCATTTTCATGTAAATTTATGTTTATATGAAAATATAAATTATTATTATTACTATTCGACCGTTTGTAACCTTAGGAATGAATCAGGTGTAATAGTCTGAACTTGTAGTCTGCGGGGCTTTGCAGTAATATTTACAATATTAGACAGGATGGAAACTGTGGTAGTAAGCATATGTACTTCTCTGTCGCTTCGCCAAAGTCTACATAGAAGCAGCTGTAAATGCAATCTTAGAATTACATCGTTTGCCCATTTCTGATATATTGGAAAACTCTGTGTAGTCATATGATACTGAAGATAATGTGGCAAGGGATAAAACTGTGTCAAACTAGGGCTTCAATACTTGGTGTCGGTAAACAAATGACCGACAGGTATCCGAAATCAGCGATCACCAGGAATGTATTCGAGTAAACCATGCAGGAGCATGAGTTTTTTCACTGCTATTAGTAATTCAGTTATTATGGCCAATAATTAGGAATTCGCCTGAATTGTTACAGCCTTGGCCGTAACTGTGAAATATTAAGTTGATGGCTCACGAGAAAACCTTAGTAACATGCTTAGCTGGTGGTTTTTAGCCCCTAAATTCGCGCGAAAATCGAAAATGCAGAATTCCGTATACCTACCAATTGTAACGTAAATGTTTCCTGCAAGAAAGATCTAACCCATAGACCTAAGCGCCTTAAATCAAATGTGTTTCGAAATAAATACAAGCTCAGATGAGTTATTCAGGCGTTGTGTTCTCCAGAGAGAATATTTTGGTCATGGCTTTGTCCTTCCTGACAACATCATCACTTTAATTTCAAAGTGGAGTTGCACCTAAATTCGCAGTGAGAGAAACAATTATTAATCCCCTTACTGTGACTGCAGATAATTCTCCCGAGAAGCGTTTTGAGTTATGTATCGTCTTAGCAGGACACATTAAACTGATTCGTGATTCATAGTCACAAAGTGTAAATAAATTTACCTGGGATAGTGTGCTTATAGTTTCTACGTGTCGCAATGTACCATGAGGATAGTCTGTAACTATACTGTTGGACTTATAACTCAATGCGAATGTGGCTATCATTATAATAAAAAACAGAATGCCTATGACTAGCAGCCACAGAATACGGTACGTTGTTATCTGTTCATCTAATCGCGTAGAGAATAGTTTCCCAGACACCGCATTTATTCCTAATAGTTTACCCTCAATTCCTACCTTAGCACGTACTACTAATGTTACTGGACCACAATCGCATTACAACAAAAGGAACACAGAATCATTGAAAAATTAATTATTAAACAAAATTAGATTACAGATTTACAAATAATTCAGATGAGTAGTCCTCTTTTACTGCCAGTAGGTTCCATCTGCGTACACAGCATATATGTGTTTCGCCATAAGTCTGAAAGGGCTTAAGAAAAGCATTAATTACTTGGGTAGTGCATGTATGATCTGAATATGCTGCATCAACCATGTCGTTTTCATCACGATTAACCAAACCGCTAACTAACTTAAGGATCTCTGAAAAAACAGTGAAGCGATAATTGAAGTTGCACAAAGTGCGTCGGAGGCACAGTGGTTAGGACTCTCGCCGACCATGCACATGGTCTGAGGTTCGAGCTCCTGTTGGCGCACACCCGATATCTATGGTCGGCCCGCAAAATTTGGGCTACCGATATCCATGCTGAAAATGCCATACTTGTACTGAAAATACGGTGTGGCATCAAGCTGTAACCAAAATAAAATAAAAAAATAAAAGTTATCACCTCTAAGGAACATTGGATGTATTCTTGACACTCCCGCGAAGTCCTTAGATCTCGATATGAGATAAATCAATTGAATTCAGCAAATAAATCCACTGGCTGCGAAGTTCAACAATAGCGTCCCAGGAATGCGAACGCACGAATGACCTTCAGCTGACCATTCATAAAAATGAGGAATGTTTGCTCAAGAAATGATGTATATTGACAAGAAAAATGCTTGAAAACGCATTAAACAGGTTATCTTTCTCTAACATGGCTTAAAAATACACCCTAATTGCCACGAGGAGTATCAGTTGCTAAGTTAGACTAGTTTCTGTATATGTATTCACCGAGATGACTACAGACAAATTGTTTTTGTGAATCGCTTATCTCTCTCATCCTGCTCGCAGTCTTCCAAAAAAGTCACCTGTTGAATTATCATGGTTTCCAGCAAGAGGATAGACGACTACTTACCAGGAAAACGTAGATAATAAAAAATTAAAATAAATGACATCAACAATAAATCTATCTCTAATCGTAACGACAAGCTTAATCCTAACCTAAACAATAAAACTAACCTTTATCCTAACCCTAATCATAACCCTGACGAGCTATTAACACATTGTCCAATCAGTACTTAAAAACGTGATCTGGGTGAAATTTGCTCCAAAGTTGGTGAATAGCGTTGATATTTCAGCTATGATAATGACACGCCGTTAGCCAACAACTAGCATGCGTTCAAGGTCATTGGAGCGTTCACACTCCTGGGATGCTATTATTGAACTTCGCCCCACTAGTATATCATTTCTATCCTGAGCTGTGATAGTATGTGTCGTCAGTTATGCACCCGACTTGATAAAACGCTCCTGGAAATCGCGAAGTTCACCAAGCAGCTAATTGATGTTTGAAATTACCGCAACTCGAATGACAAACTGGCCAATCAAGCTAGTAAATCACTTGTTTATCTCACTCGCGGGCTTACGAAATTACGGCAGTCGACAGGCCGTCGTGTTGCATATGATCTTGGTAAACTGGAAACGTAAGATGTCGGATCGTGTGGTTTGTCATGTTAATTTCACTCAATAAATGCAAGCGACATCATTAATCTCAATATATCGTGTCGTTTTTACCCCTAACTGGAGCTATGCCTAAATCTTCTTATAGAATTCCTAACATGACACTAAGTAATAACGGATTTTCACTATGATTAAGGAGAGATGTATGAAGTGCTCTCTCGTGCATACCACCCTTTGTAATTGTATATCCACAGTCAGGAACAGCATGACCGCTCCTCATGTTGAATTATTAGCTACCTTGTGCATTTATTTACGTGTTGTTCTGGATGTTTGTGGATTTCGGGAAGTAGTTAAGTGTCAGGAAATGATGTCATTCATAAATGCTTTGTGACACCACTTGTAGCGTCGTGTTTACACAACAATTGTATTCAAAATTCGACAAAATGTGTACACAGATTCCAGAATTTCTCTAAAGCAACCCTAAATGTGCACTCTTTCTACTTAGTTGTATCTTCGTGGCGCATACTAGATGTAATAAGCAGTACTCCTCACCAAAATAACCTGTACATCTGGTTAAAAATTAACATGCACATACACCTGTCCAGGCTGCTACAAAAAGTCAGTTTCTACCACAGAAGAACTTTGTGTAGAGTTTTCAAGTTTTCTAGAATTCTTGTGATAAGAAGTAGATACAGTTTTTGACGGTAAGCATTACTGAGTTACTTCATAGTTTCCATTTATTGGTTTTTCGAACCCCAATTATTTGTAGTTAGATAAACTGCATTGATTTGCACGACCAACGTAATTGAATAATAACTTGGTGAATTAGCGGTCTCATCATAACTTACTTTGTCTTCACCTAACCTGAATTCGTTTAACATTCTTCATACACGATACTGATGCTGTACTCAGTAAATTTGGAATCTACACACAGTTGAAGTTGTCACAGTCCAGAAGTGCGCTTTCGAAGTGTGAAAATAGAATGTGATGAAACTACTCTAACAAAGATATAAAGTGGAGAGGTCCACCACAGTTTCATAAGTCAGCTGTGATATCATCTTTGTATCTGGAATAAGCTTTCTTTTCTCCATGCAGATCCAATAAGCTAGTTTCTATAGGAAATTAAGAGAGTGCAATCAGAGATCGACAGATTTCCTTCTCCTGTTAACTTCAACTCTATATATAAATTTACATGTATCTGCAGGAGCATTGGAAGAACAGAAAGAAGAGCATATCTACTATTTTCTGAATATGTACCAAAAAGCCTATGTCTAAAGGGAACAAATGCATTAAACAGTACCATCGCTAGGCATCTCCTTGACACGAGTCACGAGGTGAACATAGCAAGATCGTTCAAAATTATCAATAGGTATAGGAGTTGAATTCTCCTCAAGTTTGCCGAAGCGATCTCCATCAACCGCTTGAAACCTGATTTATTCGTTCCAAAAGAAGCAGTTATCAGTCTTTCTTTGCCCTGGTAACTGGAAATTTTCACCTCTTTCATCTGATTACATAATGTTGAAAGTTTCCTTTGTGTAAGGTCATTGTTGTTCAGAGTAGTGTTTAATATTATGTATATATATATATATATATATATATATATTACTGTGTACACATAGTGAGTGATTGATTTTTGTTTAGAAATGAACTCTGTGCAAGTATGTTAAAATTGTTTCTGTAGATATACTTAATAATGACTTTTGCCTGTAAGCAGCTGGTAAAAAGCCAACTAAATAAATGATGGTACCATTTTGATTCTGCAAAAGCTGTTGTTCTTGCTTTTTTAGAGTGATTGTCTTTGACATTTTTGCTCATTATGAAATTTAGACATAGCATTTGAACGCAACGCACGTCAGCCAAACAACTCACTTGAACTTTCAGTCTAAACAGTTCCTGTATAGCTCCAATTTATGATAATTATACTTTCCTGGTTCTTGGTATCAGCTCAACCAATTTACTTGTGTATTGCAATATGCTGAAAGTTTACGCACGCCTGAGGATTAAAGGAGCTACGTACGAGATGGTGAAACACCATATTACTATTGGTCGGAGTTCTGCCAATTACCCTGTGGATATTGATATAGGTCCTTCATCATACGTCTCTCGCCGGCATTTGGAAATATATTGGAAGACGAACTCCTTGAAGTTGAAATGCAAGGGAAAGAACGGGATTTTTATTGACCAGGTGTTTCGACCTCACTGTTCCCATCTTCTCTCCATTCCATTAAGGTAAGCCTTAAATCGAACATTATCAAACGAGTCATCTGTTCGACTATTGATTGGTTGGTTGCCAGTCAGATTATGTCATTGTCATCAAATCAGTATACTGATTAGGAAGCTTGTGGGACATATGGTTATGGATCCCTGGTCTGGTGCTCGAAATTTGTTTGCACTAGTACAGATCCATTAGTACTCGACCCCTATTTCGATTGTAGTACCTTATTCATTTGTGGTATGTTTATTTACTTTATGGTACACAGTAGGTATCCATTCCTATGTGTGTAGGGTGAAAACTTCGATCAGAATGTGGCAACATTATGAACTATTTGCGCCTTATTCACCTGTGGTTAGAGAAAGCCTCTTCGTATCTGCCACTTTCAGTGGCCATATCTCACAACCATGAAGGCCGGAGCGAACTGCTGAGCAGATGGATATCACGCTAGTGTACATCAATCCCAGATCATCTTACATTTGACAGGGTCGAATCACATCAAACGTACTAAGGTTGTTACTCAAGAGGTTCAGAATATTCAGCATTTTGTCATTGCCTTCACCTAGAAGCATACTGTCACCCCCATGCTCTAAACCTCCTGGTGACAAGTCTACCAGGATCGTATCCGCCACTACATCCATCAATTAAATCACTGGTTGTCATCACTTCAGGTGACAACTCTCTATAAGCTTTTAGATGGTTTCTTGATTTCGAGTAGAGTATGCTACAGACTTTTTCGCCACTCACCTCATGGCCAAACATAGTCACGACACCTCTTGGTCTACTGGATTAAATGCCTCCTTCTGGTCAAGAAATATGCAAATGTTAAAACTCTGGAAAGTACGCCTACGTTTCAGAATATGTTGAAGGTTGAAGATGTTATCAATACACTCTACTTTGGGCCGAGTCATCCTGATTTTCATGTGCTTGTCACCTCCCAGTCTACGCACGATTATTGCACGTAAATTTTTGACACTGTGAGTCAAGATGATCGATGATTGCCATAGGAAGACTTGTCTGCTCACTTATTAACTCGGATAATCAATGCTGTACACCAGTACAACAGGACTATCTCAGGTACCCAGACGCCATCTGTTATCTTAGTTAACCCAGTCAATATTTGGTCGCCGCCATCACTGAGCACCCCTGGATTCATGCCATCATGTACTGCTGCTCCACGTTGTTTCTGGTTAGACTGCCTTTGTGGCCTCAATTACTGATGTATGACTAATATGTTGAATGATGGTCTAATTAAGCGGGGCATTGGGTCTGGTGAATGGCTCTCCAGGTTGTTCCCTCCAACGCTTTAATCGTCTTTTCTGAAAAGTAATTATTTTTGTGTTGAGTTGTGCCATTTATCATTGACCTTTTATGACATGTTCCCTTAATAACTGTAAGTAATTGTCTGGTAGTGCATGCGGCAGATGCGTTTTCCATGTCCTTCACTTTTATCGCTCATCATTGTTTACAGTCATTGTAAGGAACTTTCCCTCGTAATAATTTTTGGAGCCCGCTGAAATTAGTTTCGCATCTGCAGATTATTTTGAATTGATTGGTTGCATAGACTTCAAGTGGACTTTCTTTTCGGTTGTTAGGCATGACCGATAGAAGTGGGAGATGTAGATAGGTTTACTGCTTTCGACTGGTGGCGTTGGCGTTTAATTTCTCGTTAAGTAATCAGTAATAATGAGGTTAGAATTAAACTGTTAAGGACCGTCTGTTTTTGTTTTACTCACCAACCGTTTACAGTTGACAGTGAAGCAAACTTGTGTGAAGGCTTATAATACTACTTGGTTGTCCATACCGGTAGGTGGAGCTGGGTTCGAACCAGTGTCCCTATAGTTGGAAGTTGAGTGTCGAGACCAACAAACCACAGATTCACTGTTAGGTAATGTGAAAACGTTAACTGCTGCGGTTTCGAGGCTGCATTAGTTTAGGTATTTATAAATATATCGCTTACTCCAAGCCGGCGCTTCCTCCAACAAACAATGTTAGCTAATGTAGGATTAAGTTAGAGAAGAGTTCGAAATTGAGAGACGGAGATGTGTCAACAGTCCACAAATTATTTGACTGTTCTTTTGGGCTACATAAAGCTGGAGTCATAGGTATGCTAAGAATCATCAGGAGATTATTGGTGACATGTGTAAAAATTGTTCGCAATGGAGCAAATGCATTTGCTCCTGATTTTTTAGATTCAGAAAGTCCTCATTATTCTTCACGTAGCTATTTTTCTCCCCCATTTTCGTTTGTTGCAGTTTCACCGTATCGATTTACCGTATCTCCCTACATGCTTTCACGGAGACTGACAGTATAAACCGCTGCACTTTCCTTTGTCAACCTCCATTTTGATAACTTATTTCGAAGTCGACTTGTTCACCAATACACTTCCATCTCAAACTGTTGATATTCTTCGTAATTATTTTACTAGCTTTCTTATTTCCATCTTGATTGTGATTTTTTTGTTAACTGTTTAAACCAGTTTTGAAGACCGACTCTTGAAGACTAGTAGTCGAGATGATTGATTTCCGAGAAGAATGGGACCTTGAGTTGCCTATGAGAATCGGCTAAAATTTTAGGCATAACTGAACACTAAGTAAATAAATACGGCATTAATCCCTGGAGTTCACTGTTTATGCAGATTAGTTTTTCCTTATGGTGATTCCTATTATTTTTTGCACATAACAGCGTGAAATTCCGCATACCACTTGAATGTAATAGTTACCAAGTAAACATTATTAAGATTATAACGGGGTTCTAAAGACCAAAATACAATGCTTTTGGAAGAGATTCTAAGATAATTTCGACCGAACTGTCATACACTAATAATCGTATCCAAAGAAGCATAAAGAGATAACAAACAGGCAGCGAGACGAACATATGAGCATTCACTGATATAAGTATAAAACTTGGGCACTGTGGTAGAGTATAACTCCATTATAGATAAGATTTTATTTTGGTAAATCACAGTGTTGTACAGTAATATGAAATGACGTTTCTAGCACGAATTATTGCACAAGTTGTGTGAGTGACTCGATATGATTATAGGCAATAATCTGTGCTCGAAACGTCATCAGTTAATATAACTGTACAACACTGTGTGATTTATCAAAATAAAATCTTATCTATAATGGAGATATAAGCATTCACACATGGTGTATAATGAAGGGGATATAACTATGGCATAATGTGAAGTCATAATTATTATTGAAATAAGTCACATAATGCATCATCTGCATGCAATGCATCTTTCTATACTCCCTATTAACATTGAGAAAAAAATCTCTCAGTCAACATTTTTCTTTTCTTTGAATGGATACTAGTTAATAACTAGTGTAAATGTGTCTAGTCCTTTTTTTGGTCCAGACTGAATCCTATCATACAGCCAGCTCCCTTTATTAGTCTGTATACAGAAAGAACGAACATATTTACAGGATAATACGAGCTTGTTTTGTTTCATGGATTCTCTTCAACTGCGCACATTCTAAACAAAATCAATTTTAAGTTAATGGTGTCCTAACATACTTTTTACACTGACTTCGAGTTATTGATAGAATGTATGGGTAACATAATTCCAAAGATGATTTAAGTAGACAATTATTTAGTGTTCAAAGAGTAACTGGTTATATGGTAAATAGACAAGGTCCTCCCTTTGAAACAAGGCTGGACTAGAGACAAAATAAAAGATAGAACAGCATAATGAATTTATGCATATTATGATGAAGAGTTCAGGAGGATGGTGGTGAATAGTAAAGTCAAATGAAAATATAAAATAGATTTGGAAACTTGATAGCGAGTTCAACTCGATTAGTGAAAATCGAAATCAAAATTGAGTGGAATGTTATGCATTAGGACAAAAATAAAAGCCCATGAACAAAACAGTTACGGTTACCGGGGTAATGAGGCACTATCCACGTCATCTTTCTGTATACATAGGTTTGTTCGAAGTCTTTTGATGACAATGGCTTCTACGGACCAAAATAACCATACTTTTCTTTGTGTATTGGTCATTTTGACACTAAATAATTGTCTACTTACATCATCTTTGAAATTATCTTGCCCATACTTTCTTTCTACAATTTGAAGTCATTGTAAAAAGTATACGCATAAGAGTTTGTAATATTTTTTAATTTATTTAGAATGTACATAGTTAGAGAGAAACCATGATATAAAACAATCTCGTATTATCCTGTAAATATGTCCGTCCTTTCTTTATTGAATTCCAACAGTCAAGTTTGAAATGTGACCAGCATTCTAGGTGGCTCGCCATCAAGGTGCACTTTGAATTGTTAATATTAGGTGGTTGGAGGCAATCCGCAGGAAGCCCTCCGCCAACCTGCACCAAGTGAAAGACTAGACACATCATACTAGTTACTAACTAGTATCCAATCAAAGTATCCGCTACAGTCCTGTAGGAGGTCAGTTCCCAGCCCGCACAGCTAGCTCAGTGGTCACGTCTCTGAATATGTCATTCACTGGGTGGCACGGGTTTAAATCTCAAAAAAGACATGAGGTGTTCCTTCAAAGTTGTAGACACGCCTTGGTGACTGGTGAGCACAAAACGTATGTCCAAGACTTCCTGCCGATCACCTCCAACCATCTAATATTTTTCTTTCTGTTTATTTATAAAACGATTTGTTTCCTTATGAATTAGCACTGCGAATCACAGCAGCCAATCTTCATTCACCATAATGAAGCTGTCGTTTGAATAAGTGTTTCACTATACTCTGTCCATCTTAAACATCTCCATATTCACTTTATTTGGGGAATGTTATTTCCTCTTCTCTAATACGGATATGACGAGGATTTTAGCTTTCTAGTTTCACAAACTATGATTATTTATTCGCGGTTATCGAATCGAAAAACCAAAATTCTAGATATCTTCTACCTCTCATTAGTTAATAAACATTCAATTATCAAATGTCTTTTGTTCACTTTTATCTTCCTTTTTTGGCCCTTTGAACTTCTTTTCATCAATGTACACTGAATTTGGTACTTACTGAGTTCAAAAGTTATATTTTCCATAAGTTATCGGCTTAGTGCTTCCTTTTAAACACGAGCTGCTTTTAATTATGGGGTATATGCGTATCTCAGAAAGGATACTATTTGTTTAAATTATTGACATATGATAATCACTCAATCTGTTATCAATAAATATTTTTCTTATTTTAATTAAGATGTATCCTTCGGTTCCCGAGTACATCTATTTGCATTGAAGTTGAACAGTGTTTTATGACTTACGAAAAAGGCAATGCTTCTGGAGATTATATTTCATCATCTTTGGAAATGGATTCATACGAGTCAGGAGGAAATACTGTACTGTCTGTAACTAGTGATAAAGAATCATTGTCATCAAGTGATTTCAGGCGTGAACTTTCTACTGAGATCTCATCGACTAGTCGTACACGTCGTAAACAAGCATTGATACCAACTTGTAGAACTACCTATCATAATCACAATATAAAAGGTGTCCTTCTTAATGATTTGACTTCAAATGAGGAAAAGAATATTGATCTGTAAGTTCTTTTCCATTGATGTTGAGTTGATTTTGTTGTTATTTTACATTTTCACACTGAATCCCTAAATTTTATTATTCTAGAGGGGAAGTATTACGCGATACTTTATGTCTATTGTTGTGCGGGACAAAACTTACCACAAGCAATTCTCATACAAATAAAAAAAGGTTAGTTGTGTTCTAAGCATTCTTAAATACTTGGGACATCAACTCGTATGTTGAGCAAAGCTATAACGGTATCCTTCGTTGTCACAGCTTTATATACTTCAATTGGAGAGAAACTAGCAAAAAGAACCATGAAGTAGTTACTCAACAACAACAATCACCCTTCATAATACTCAAAAATGCAACACACAAGTTGGATGGAGTGCACTAACCTATGTCCAACAGCTTATTTTCATTTCAACAGCCAAATATATGGACAAATTTAAGGGACACCTGTGGGATCGCGCATATCAGATCTGATTACAGAAGCTGCGATGCTCGAAAAGGCTCGAAAACATAATCCTACCAAAGTTCAAACGCAAAATTTGGATACGTTACGCAGATGACACATTTGTAATAATCAAAAGAAACGAGTTGGATAAAACTCATGACTTAATAAACAGCGTTTTCAACGGCATAAAATTCACAGGAGAAGAGGAATCCGAGGACAAAATTCCATTTTTGGACGTCTTAGTCAAGGGAACTAGAAACTCAAGTTGACAGGAAATCAACCTGCACAGATCAAATACTCAATTACAACAACAACCCAGCAACACACAAAAAGAATTGTATACAACCAGAAAAGTACAGTTCAATATGACCACTTTTTTGGTATATTCCAAGGGGTTTGTATATTTGCTCCCCAACAATGACGTTGTCACTTAACACACCTGCAAATTATAATCTTAAATATTAAGTCTTTATAGGGGGAACCGAGAAAAAAATCATTGAACCGGTGAAACAAAGAAAATACTTAATCTTCCCTTATTCTGTTATTGTTTGTCTCTGGCTGATTGAGTTTCAATATGGAAAATTGCAAGAAAGTGTACCATTTGAAATTACCACACTTCTTGTACATCAAAAAGGTGAGAAAATTAGCGGAAATAATTTTTAAAAAACACTGTAATTAGGACGAATATCCAGAGAGAAAGCGTGGTAACATGGAAGACAAGTTTTTAATGGAAATGGAGGGTCTCGAAGAGTGAATACGTCTGCACCGTTGTGAATGACTGTGAGGTACATCGCCAACAGACTCCCGACAATCCCAACTGGGAGGTCTACATCTCCCTATGTAGCTCAAACCAATTGTCAAACAATTCATAGAGTGGAGCAAGGTTTCGATTTCGCCAGCGTCTATCTCTTTTCCAACTTCATCATATATTGGTCGAGGAAAGCAGTGACTCGGCATATATATTTTTACCAAAGTAAAAAGCGAGGCTGAAAGCCGGAAGAGATGTTACAGTTGGGCACTTGTTCACACCTAACTTCCTTTTTCCCTGAACTGAGAATAAAACTTGAGTGGAATTTAATGAAATAACTGAAATATAAGATCTAGACATTATGAAATGAATGGTATTAAGTACATGTAGCTTTGCGCCGCTATAAATAAACCTTATACCGATTATCACTTTATCCCTTTGCGTTCCAAATGAAACATAAAGCTTCAAACTTCGTGAGTTTCAAAGTTTCAGTAGCAGCAGTGTTATTTTTCCTCACAGGCTGGGGTTGTCAAGCTTGCTTTGATGAAATGAAATATTACAACACATAAATTATCTCCCTGAATTAGTTCATTCAATGCCTTTGCGTTCCCAGTGGAGCATATGGCTTCAGGCTTGAGTTTTAAAGTTTCAGTATCAGTGATTTTGTCTTTCATGTGACGAGATTGCTAGCCTCACGTCCAACGATATCTGTGTATAGCAGGCTTGCTACTGCCTTAGCAAACGAGGTTCGTCAGTACGCTGACATAAAACTCTTCTATGTTTGTCGTTAACTGACTAACTGACTGACTGACTGGTTTGGGTTCAACATAAAACTTTGCAGACAATTGGATAAGTTCGAGTTGCTACCCCCGCCTCCCATGCTCCATATAACACACAAAGCAAGAGAAGAGAGCAAAGAGAGATTCGAAAGAGGGAGGGACAGAGAGAGAGAGACAGAGCTAATAAACAGTAGTATGAGTGAGGGAAGAAGAGTAGTAACACGGTGGGAGGAGAATAGAGTTTCGTTAAATATGACAAATCAATGACAGAGAGTGAAAGCTTGTGCGCCATCATTGACAGCGATGATTTTGAGCCAGACATATCACCGGTCATATCTCCAACCATCATTGCTTCTTACCATCATCCCGAGGACCCCAACCAGGCGTCAGTCTACACCGCACTGCGTGGCTAGCCGGCTGGCTGGCTTAAACTAACTGTTGTCATGAATTTGATGGACTGATGAAGCCAGTCATGTTTTGGTTAGACCAGCACCACCACAACGAGGTGCTGTGTAGCATTTTCCAATCTGATCACTCCATCCATTCATCCATCCTATGTCAGCTGAGGTGACATTGCCCGTCGGTGGAGTAAGGCGATGGATAGATGGATGGATGGATTGGTAGGCGAGCAGGCTTGCATACATGCATGCATGTGTAAGACATGTCCTAACCATGTCACTCAGTCGATGTAACTGCTTCACAACCTCCTCGTCGGTTGATGAATCTCCCACCTCGTGCTCCTCTTCTTTGCCTAGCAGCACTCCACCGATGCCAAATCAACTGAATATTACTCACCCTATTATGCCAACTAACACGGTAATTAGATCGAATGCGGACATCTGTTATGAAACACAGCTAGTCGGCCAGCTGGCCGGCCGGTCTTCTCATGTCTTCCACTTTCATCAATGGCTATCATGTCTCAATCACTCACTCACAGCCAGGCGGGCAGTCAGTCATAAACGAGTACGAAGCGAACTACTGAGCAGTACACATGCCCTTCGGTCGGCAGTAAGATATCAAGTCTACTAAGCCAGAGATAACTTAGTTTGTTTGGTGCATGTATGCTAAACGAGCTTTCTCTATCTTTGTGCTGTCATACCATCAGCAATCAACCCAGTGGGCTCGCCTTATGCAGCTTCCAAAATAAGTGAAGTTGTCAACACACTCAGCCAGCCACCACTTCACTCCTGGCTATCTTTAAGGTAGGTGTGATTCAATGCAGACCAGTCCTGTAACCTCCTCATCTTACATTTGGCAGCAGGAGCGAATCATTAGGCCGTTAGAATATAAAATCAAGTAGAGTCTGATGACCGGTACGCACATAGCATACAAGCAAGTGTTGGATGTTGGGCAAATTGATCATGACTACTGGCCAATTAAATTGCTCCTCAAAATGTTCCTTCCAGCGTCGGTGTTTTCTGTCCTAAGAGGGTGGTATTTTTCTCGGAGGTTGTATCACTTATCATTTGCATTTTGCCTCTTATGTGTGTAATATGGTGATTATTAGGTGCTGCACTCTGTCCACCTGCAGTCATATTTTAAAACACTGACATATCGCGGTTTGATGAATAATCAAGGTAGAACTGTTACCCAACTGCTCATTGGATGGCATACAGTGTGTTTTAGTCATTATTCTTTCATTTTCCAGCTACTGCTTTCTGTCTTTTGCATCAGTAACCCTTGTTACGCATCTACGTTGTTTGTTTTTTTGTTTTGCTTCTAGAGATCAATCTAATAAAAAGGATATCAGCCAAAATCAAGATGTTTCTTCTCATCAAGAAAGTAAACATACTACTACTACTACTACTACTACTACTACCGATAAAACCAATGTTCGGTATATTCAGTTGAATTCCAGAGTTGATATGTCATTTTCAAGTTTAAATTCCTTTTTCAAAGATCTAGTTCCTACTGAATCATCACCACAGAAATCTCTCCCCACATCCATTGTTCACCTATCAAGCATCCCAACAACAGTAGTAGAACGTGGAGATCGATTTACTAAACCGCCTTATTCGTATGCTCAACTCATTGCTCAGGCAATTTCAAGTCAACCAGATCGTAAACTCACTTTGAGTGGAATTTATGACTTCATTAGCAGAAATTATTCTTATTATCAGTCAACTGATAAAGGTTGGCAGAATTCAGTTAGACACAATCTATCACTCAATCGTCAGTTTGTAAAAGTAAGTGTTCTCCCATGTATCTTTTGCTACTGTGTGTTATGTTGTTCACACTGTTGAGTAGTAGAAATCACATCATCAAACCAAATAAACCGTCTCTCAGAATTATCGCCACAATTCGGAAAGGCTAAGCTGAGTGTTCATCCAGTTGAAATTAATGCATGTGAAGTATATTGCGTATGGTAGAGCCTGGAATTAGCGCACATGCATGATACCCATCCAAGTCAAGGAATGAAATTGAGTTAGACAGACAGATTTGTCTACAGGGAATCAGTCGCCAGCCCTAATAGCTAGCTCACCGGTAACGTCTCTGACTGCAACACTCACTCACAGGGACATGAGTTGTCCCTTCAAAGTTGCAGATACGCCTTGCTGACTGGTTAGTGCCAACTGGCACGAAACCTGATTCAAGCAAGGCCTCCTGTGGCTGATTGCATCCAACCACATAATATCAAAAAGTCGTGGTGCAGTGCACCATGATGGCGAGGCACTTAGTGACATGGTGGCCACACTGCAAACCTGACTAACAGATTAATTCAGTTTGCACCAAACAAAGTATTCGATACATTACACTAGTTACTAACTAGTTTAGGGGTTGAAGGTATCGACGTTCGCGAACTGTACGGAGTATACTAACGCAAGATCTTATACCAACAACTTCTATAGTGTTCGATCTTCGAGTACCAAAGATAAAGCAAAAGACCAGATTTAGTCGTCCAAAGTACGTAGTATATTTCGAGACCAAAATCGCGGGTTGAAGTGAATGCTTAGCTAGCTAGTAGTCGTGCACGCACTTGACACGACGGAGTACCAAATGGCGGGGATGCTTGACCGGAAGCCTTCAGCTAAACAAGTCGACTTAAACAGTGAGGGTCAGCATCCAATGTTGAGTGATGATTGCTGTGGTCAATAATTTTTGGGGAATTATTTACCGCTACACTAGTGTCCAATCAAAGAGAGATAGCCTATAGAGAGTGAAATGAGTATTCTCCTTCATATGAAGTCTGTATTCTACTCTATGAGTAGTTTACGACATCTAACACACACACACTTTACTCAAAAGAAAGGTTCCTTAATGTCATAGTAGTCTCATATAAATTGCTGGAACTTTATAAAGAATTTTGAAGATCGAATCAGTAATCCTGCCAGTAGATATCGAACTATTTGGTGATTTACTTTTGCAAAAGAGATGCTTAAAACTTCATTGCATGTTATATTGTTCTTCTTGAACAGTGAAAAAGCTAAAATAAAACGTAGAATCCCTGGAGAGTGAGGAACGCTTGTTGCAGCAGTAATCTTGAGGAAGTTTCCTCGTGAGAGGCAAGTACTCAAGCAAATGAATTAATATTCAAGTGTTAGTTGTTGCAGGGATTTGATTGGTTACAGGTTTCATCATGAGCTGACATCGGTTAGAAAACCATCGGAAAACCAGCTGCGAATACTGCTAGACAGCTGTTCCGTCCTACTGCTTGGGACTCTTCAGCAGTGCGCATTCACTGCCAGGGTTCAAACCTGAAACCTTCTGGTAACAAGATGATCGGGCTCGCAAACCATTAAGCTACTGAGGCCCAATCCATGAATTCCAACCAATCAACCTGACGCTCACGAGCGACTGGTTTTATTCAAGAAGACAGTAGTTACCTGGGTGTGTTCTAGTGGTAAGTCGCGACCAGTGGTGTACAGCAGGTCGGGAATGAGGACAAATACTTGTCTCGGATGACATTTGTTAGTGCCTGTGGCGCTATATCGTGTGTGAATTGGTAGGAGTTGGAATGCATGGGATGGTCACTGGCCTGGCGGGTCCCAGTGGCTTGATGGTTGGTCCACGAGCCCGCTCGCCTTGTAACCGGATGGTCATGGGTTCGAACTCTGGCGGTGAGTGGCTGCCTACTGCTGGAGCGGAGTCCCAAACAAGGCGGACGAAAAAAGCTGTCTGGCAGTACTCCCTGGTGGTTTTCCAATGGTCCTCTAACAAATGAATTAAATTTTAATTTTGAATTCTGGTAGGCATATTAAAAGCTTGGTCCCAATGAAACTCCTAATCCATTAAACGTGAGAAAAAGAGATTTCGTGCCTCTATAGTCATCATGAACAGCGAGAAACCAGTGTTCATCAATTTGTTTGTCGTATATTGCAAACAGTAGGTTGAGCAATGATATGCCGTTAAATATTATGATTGCTAAGATGATTTCTGTCATGAAGAAACTATTATAAATCACTAGCAATCAAAAGTACGAAAACACATTGGAAATGTTTTATACCAAGCAATAATCTCATGACTCCTAATATTAAATTTTACCTTATTTACCATGTAGCGCTTAGTGAAACGCTGAATGTATATATTTATCAAAAGAATGGACACTGAACAGAGTACTCTTTTCGATAACTTCATCATCAGGCTCTACAGTTATATATATATATATATATATATATATATATATATATATATACATTATAGTGAATGAATGAATTAGTGTTATGAACAACATTAATGTTTAAATAACATCGAATCAATAATATTGATAGATTAGAGCTGAATAGCATCAACATAAAATAAGCTGAATGTCAGAAGAATTAGGAAAGATAATATTACAAATTCATGAGTTTACAGTCTCTACTGAAGGCTGGCCAGGGCAGTAGTACGGGCTGGACTTGCTTCTTTTGAACACAGAGCACTGGTTGTTTGAGGCGAATTGCAATAGCCTCTGCTGTTTGGAGTATGCGGTGCTTCTATGATTTTGGCAATTTATTAGGAACCCGGTAGACTATAGAGAAGGATTCTTCCACGCTGGCTTTGTGGCCGGTTTGTACCAGATATTCCAATATCGAACTGTTAATGGTTTTCACCACACCTTTACTTAGCCATAGTGGGAGATGTACTCGAGCACGAGAAATAAGTTCCTAGAGCAACGGACAATATTTATATATATCAGACTTTGCAACTTCTTTTATGCCCATAAATACTTTTTTAAATTTCTTTATGGATCATGTTAAAACAGGTGCCCCGATCTCAAGAAGATCATGGTAAAGGCTGTTTTTGGAAAATCGATCCAGCTCATGAAATGAAGTTACTAAATATTGCCTATCGCAAACGGCGTGTGAGACCTTGTGATACAACAGGATCTCTTTCACATCAGTCTTCAAACACCAGATATCCATTATCATCATTATCGAATGGGAAACTTTACAATTATGTCCTTCCACCGCCAACATCCTTCATAGGTCGAATAAACAATAGTTCAGTAATGATACCAACAGCTGCTGTTTCGCAAAAATCATTTAAAAGATGTCATAAATTTTCAGATCAATCAGAACTTCCGTATAAGATCTCTTTATCTTCTTCACCTACTGTACATACACCTTCAGCAGTTAATCAATACAAAGAAGATAAGTCGAATGTGATTACCTTACAACCAGTGATACAAAATTTTATTCCACTTAACCAAGGTTTGTTAACTGTTGATGTACCTATTATTTATTTCGATATTTTATTTATCTTTTTTACTTAAGCGTAGCAGAATGCTTGCTTAGTAGGATTATTATCGTTCCCTTGGATTCCAAGTGGAAGTGAGGTAGAGGTGTGGGGCTGCTATTCTAAGCTTGTTCGATGATGATGAGTAGAGTTACAATTTGATCAGCTAATGATGATTTGGTTTTGCTGAATCCAACTTGTTCCGTGAGGTGGCTGAGTTCTGTATCCAGTGCAACTTTTATTCTCTTTAGGATGATGCAACTTACTATCTTATTTGACGTGGACAAGAGCATTATTCTGCGCGTCAGCATATCAACTGCAATCTTTGGATATGTTTTCAGTGCTTCTGTAGGAGTTCTATCTCTTCCTGGTGCCTTTCCGAACTTCATTAGCTTGATTGCATTTAAGACTTGTGCTTTTGTTGGAGTATTGGTGTCCACTGACACTTGTTCTATGGGTGCTGTTTATGATATTTCTGGGTGTTTTTGAATTGCAGATGATGGTCGATTCGAGAGTCGTTTGAAGTGATCAACCCATTGTTTTCGTTGTCTCTCCTATTTGGTAATTAGGTTCGACTGACCATCTTCTGTAGGTTTCACCTGAATTGATATTTTCGCAGATAAAGACCTGGTTATTTGATATAACGTTCTAAGGTCTCTTCTACCTGCAGGCTTTTCTTCTTCAGTTGCTAGTGTCGTAGAAGTGTCTTTTGTCTTTCATAGCACTCTTCACTTCTGTATTCAGCGTGGTGTCCATTAAACTCAGCTTCTTCTTCTGTTATGCATCATTGCATCGCTTCATGTTCTGTCTCACCATCCTCCTCTCTATTAGTAGCTTCCAAGCGTACGTTGAGAGCGTTTGTTTGTTTTGCCTCTTTTACTTAGATTAGTTGTACACTTTTCTTTGAACATCACCTTCAGAGAGAGGTTCAATGTTCTTCCCCTCAGGTTTCCTCAGTGATGCCACTTAGTGTCTTCAACTTCGCTCTGATAGCTGCTGTGAATGTGTAACAACAGAAGACAAGGGCCAGGCAACAGATCGTTTATTGAGAAAATCAAGAGATATTTGTATATTTTATGTACATTATTATTTGTTATTATTAGCAGAGAAACAGCGTCTTCTGATTGGTTGTTTTATCACTGAAAGTTATTCTGACATCTTGTGGCCGTTTGTTTGAAGGTCAGACCATATATCTGCGAATCGTACGCGCCCACGCAAAGTTTGCTGTGATTAGTTGTTGAGTTAGTCTTTGTTCTTGTTTTTTTCTCATGACCAAGAGATGGGACGTGAACATTGACGTAAATTGCTTTCTACCAATTTCGGCTAGTAGACAGCTCTCATCACAAATGTATCCTTTCTAGTTTTGTCGTTCAGTGTCTGCATGTTAAGTAGGAAAGGGAAGTCAGTTGATGAAATGGTGAAACTACGCATGCGTTGAGAGATGGCTAGAACAACAAGCGACTGTCTTATTCAACGTGAGGAATATTAGCTGATACATGATCATAAAGTTCGAAACCGTTGACTGTTACTTTGAATCACCTGAAGAGGTGTGCACTGACTGTCTTTAACGGTGGGCATCTCTAAGATACTGTTGCTGATATGGATTAAAATGGCAGATTTATTCACCCTTTGTCATCTCCCACCCATATCTACTAAATCCTCAACTAACTTTTCTTTCTCCTTGTACATTTAGTTCTTTTGATGAATCTCTTTCTATGTCTCTTTTGTCTACCTTTATATGTTATAAGGAGTGTAGCACACTGAATTGCCGAACTTCTGTGCAAAGTTTCATGCTGAAATTCAGTCATTCAGGTATCTTTTTATATAATGGATTCTGAGCAAGTTAAAGATAGTTTTACATTGACAGTGTGTGGAACTTAACACACTCAGAAGTAACATATATATATATTATTAATCCCTTGGGTTCCTAGTGGAACATAGGGCTTCAACTACACATCATTTTTTATTTTTTAATTTTATTTTGATTACAGCTTGATGCCACACCATATTTTCAGTACAAGTATGGCATTTTCAGCATGGATATCGGTAGCCCAAATTTTGCGGGCCGACCATAGATATCGGGTGTGTGTCGGCAGCGGATCGAACCCCGGACCATGTGCATGGTCGGCGAGAGTCCTAACCACTGTGCCACCGACGCACTTGCTTCTGTCTTCTGCTGTACTTTACACCTGCATCCATGTTAATCCATACTGTTTCAACTCCTCTTCACACAATCTCCTCCATGTCACCCTTGGACGTCCCACTCGCCGCTCACCTTTCGGGTTCCACTCGAGGGCCTGACGCGCGATGTCACCCAACGGCCTCCTCAGCGAGTGTCCAACCCATCTCCACTTTCTCCTGCATATTTGTTGGGTGATTGGTTCTTGTTTTGTTCGTTCCCATAGTTTCTTGTTGGTGATTCTTTCCGATCATCCGATCTTCAGTATAGAGCGAAGACAGTTGTTGATAAAGGTCTGCAACAGGCTGTTGGAAATATACTTTGTGACACACTGGCCAAGTTTCTGATCCGTGTAGAAGAACTGACTTGACGTTTGTATTGAAAATCCGAATTTTGTTGTTGATGCAGGCTGAGTGACGAAGATTTCCAGATTGGTTTTAGGTTGATGAATGTGTTTCTCGCCTTCCCGATTCTCGATTTGACATCCTCGTCCGTTCCTCCTGTGGTTGAGACAATGCTCCCTAGATAAGTGAATGAAGTAACCTCTTTCAAATCGCTCCCGTTGATGGTGATTGGCGCTGGATGTTGCTGTTGTTGTTGTTAGTTGGTTATTTTCATAACCTCTGTCTTGTCTGTGTTCACCTGGAGTCCTGTCTTTGCTGCCTCTTCAACCAGTTTGTCGGTTTTCGCTTGTAAGTCTTCGATTTTGTGTGACATCAAACATAAATCATCCACGCGCGAAATCCAGGTCTTCTAGGTCCTTCACGTCGGTCCAGGATATCCCTGTCTTCTCGTTTCCCACTGTCTGACGCATAATCTAGTCCACCACAATTAGGAATATCATTGGTGATAATAAGCACCTTTGTCTGACTCCTGTGTTTACTCCAAACGCCCTCGCTGTGTTTTCTGACATATATATATATATATATATATATGTCAGAAAAAAAAATATATATCAACTGACCACTTCCAGTTGTGCAGATTTGCGGAGAGTTAGTGTATGCGTCTGAAGTACTGCACAAGAATTTTATGAATCCTCAGATGATTTTTCTAGCACTAAGATTGTTGTCAACATTCGTTTTTAGCATCGCGAAAGCCTCAGTTGTGTAGCCTGCAACTCTCCATGTGTGACGCAAATTAACTGTCAAATATTTTATAGATTGATACCACATTTTGGTGTGACTATATTTGACTCGTTTCCATCTTAAAATCCTCTGTCGGCTGCATCACCCATCGAGGAAGGCGATGGTCTGTGCGCAGAACAGGTGTCCTAGTTATCTCAATCGATGTAACTTCACAACCTCATTGGTCGACTTACCGTCTAGCTTACACCTAACGTCAACGTTGCTCAGCATAGTATACCACTTAACAGGGGATACAGAGCACACAGACACCTATAAGTGACATGATTATGAGCAATAAGTTGTGCTCAAGACGTCATCCCGTTAATATTACTGTATCACACGGTTTCATGTCAAATAAATAAGCTTGTATAATGTGAGATTATGTTATTTCTACACTTTTATTTTACCAGTTTTCAGCGTATTGTACGAAACGTAACTTTCAGTCGATAAAAGTTTAGTTTCAAATGCTTTGCGTATACAGATTTTCAATTAATATTGTTGTATTCAAGACTCAGCTTGGAAGTTTCCCTAAAAGTGGTGTACTTATTTCCGAAGAGATTGAGTTCGCCAACCTCATACCCAACCTTCGCTGTTTACCGGGCTTAACTAACGACTATGTGACGTACAAGAGAGTGCGTCAGTTGAGAGTCGGATTCTTGACCGCTTGTGGTGTGGCTGACGCGAGCATTCTACCACTGAATCACCGACACATGTGATTGTGGTGAGTTGTCTCTATTGGATGATATTGATTGACTGACTGACTGACTGGTTTCAACATAGAACTTTGCAAAGATGTGGATAAGTTCGAGTTGACACCAACCCCCCCGCCCCCACTTCCACTCTTATGTGCCATGTAACACAAAGAGCAAGAGAAGAGAGTAAAGAGAGATTCGAAAGAGAGAGGGGCAGAGAGAGACAGAGCTAATAAACAGAAGTTTGAGTGAGGGAAGAAGAATAGTAACATGGTGGAAGAAGAATAAAGTTTTGTTGGATACGACAAATCAGTGACAGAGAGTGAATGCTTGTGCGCCATCATTGAGAGTGACGATTTTGAGCCAGACATATCACCGGCCATATCTCCAGCTACCATTGCTTCTTATCATCATCCCGAGGACCCCAACCAGGCGGCAGTCTACGCCTCCCTGCGTGGCTAGCCGGCTGTGTGGATGGTTGGCTGGCTGGCTTAAACTAACTGTTGTCATGGATTTGATTGACTGATGAAGCCAGTCATGTTTTGGTTTGACACGAGGTTTAATTACGAGGTGCTGGCTAGGATTTTCCAATCTGATCACTCCATACATCCATCCATCCTATATCAGCTGAGGTGAGATTGTCCGTCGATGGAGGAAGGCGATGGATGGATGAATGGGTAGGTGTGCATACATGCATGCACGTGTAAGACATGTCCTAACCATGTCACTCAGTCGATGTAACTGCTTCACAACCTCCTCATTGATTGATGAATCTTCCCCCTTCTGCTCCTCCTTCTCCTTCCCTAGTAGCACTCGACCGATGCATCACCCACTCAATATTACTCACCCTATTACACTCGTCACCTCATCTGACCTAATATGGGATGTAGATAGAACGCAGGCACCTGTTATGAACGACGGCTATCTGGCTTTTTCATGTCTTCCACTTTCATCAATGGCTATCATGTCTCAATCACTCACAGCCAGCCCGTAATAAACGAGTACGAAGCGAACTACTAACCATTTGAGTGATACAACTATTCATTGCATCTAATATATAATTCGAGTGGTGAATTATGTAACGAATCGCTGACAAAATTTTTATTGTATATCATACAACAAAGGTGATGTATTAATAAAAATATGTGAAAATTATTTCTCTTCCTCTTCCAGTGCCTTCTTCAATTTTACGAGTGGTAAGTGCAAGGCCGTGTATCACCACTTCAGTTGTCAAGTCAAATGAATATAAAGCAGTAGAACATAACAACGCTTTGTCAACTCCTACTGTCGTTATTCAATCTGCACATTCCCCACAATCTATGCATTCCAGTCCCACATAGCGCTTAGAGTATATATTCAGTAATTGAATAACAATTTAATATAGTATAATATAATATAAAAACTCTTACTTTTATTCACATTACTATAAGCAGCTTATATGAATATAATATACAACAATTTTTTGTTTTACTAACAAGTTTATCCAATTAATATGTAAAAACAGAACACCAACAGTTGAGCTGTATTCATATACATATATGTAACAGTACTCAATAGGGGTGTGATTGGCTGTTCATTTTCGTAAACAATGGCTGTGTACCTGCTTTTTGCTTCTTTTTATACGTTTACATGTATACATTTGCATTTTATTATTGATTTTCACTATTGTCTTTACTTTTGTACTCCCCTCTTCTTTTATATCACATTTTGATGTTCGATATATTTTCTGATTGATCCTTTTTTTTAATTCTTGTTGTGTAGCATAATGCCTTCTGCTGTCACACTTACACACACACGCGCATAATTGAAATTGCACTAAACGCATACACATACATATCTGTGTAGGACAATCACACTTTTTTTTCTTTTTACTAATTTTTAATTTGAAGTAAAATATTGTGATAAAAAAAATTTCATATGATCATCTCTTTTGTTTGTTATCTTTTGCCCCCTGGGGTTCTGAGTGGAACATACGTTTTCAACAGCACGTCTACACTTTGTTATATTTTCCACTAACCTCTTCAGCTAGCTTCACGACTGCCTATAGTTTCTCATTTCGTTCATGTCACCCTCGGAAACATGCATCAGTCGTCATTTCCCATTCAGGTTCCACTCAATACGTTGGACTGGCTGGTCCCCGACGGTCTCCTCAGTGGCGTGTGCCCAATCCATCTCTATTTTCTTCTACATATTTGGTGAATAATAGGCTGTTGGGTGGTTCACTCCCACAGTCATTCGATGTTTAGTATGGAGACAGCGAAGGCAGCAGCTGCTGATCAAAGCTTTTAGTAGTCTGTTGGAGATGCTTTCCGTGACGAGCACACCAAGTTCCTCACCCATATGGTGGAAGAAGTGACTGACCTAACATTTGTGTTGAGAATCCAAATCTTTTTATTTATGCTGCTCAGTGCAGAATATTTTCAAACCGATTTGAGATTGATGAAGGTGTGCTGCGTTTCCTTTCCGATCGTATCTGGCTGGCTTTGACATCTCCATGCATTCCGACCTGCTGTGGTTGAAACGACGCTGCTTGTTAACTAGATAAGTGAAGGCAGGGAGTAACCTTTTTTATTAATAATATTTTATAATGAGAAAGTCCAATCTCCTGCGAACTCCCACTGTATGTAGTAGCCGACGATAAACCTGTATGACATGCGTTATCCAACCTAATGGGTCGTGGCAAGACTGATTCATTTCCTCTGTATGCCTACAACTCTGCACCCAAGGTATCAGTACTACTTTAAATATTAGTAGCACATTATAATTTACTGATTTAATAGACTATCTTCCCTCAAACAGAGTCTGGTGTACCGATCTCCTGTTGCCTTCACCTTACAACACTAAAAGACTGTCTTCAAAACAGTCTAGTGTACAACAGAGTCACAAAGTTATGCAAAGTTTGAGATGTACGTGGGTCTTGGTTTCAAAATGCAGCTGAAATTTTGTATAGATAAGTACAGTACATTACACTCAAATGAAATACATTTTTTTTGAATTAGGAATGCCAGAAAGAATCTTCGTTTTTCAATTCCTCATTGCTTTGTTCAGTTAAGACTTGCATTGTCCAAAATATGTGTGTTTCATATGCCACACTGTGGGTCACACATATTTCCCAGGGCAGTATAGGTATTGCCAGTATTCTCCTTGTGAAATTAGAAGAAGCAATAAGATGCAGTTTATCTGTGAATGGTGTAGTGTGTATTTTGTGTGCAACACTTATTTCGAACAATCTGATCACACACGGAATTGTCATAGGAATATATACACATGAAAACAATAAACGTTGATGGGTGAGAAAAGAGACTTAGGTCAAGTTAAAATCACATATTGAAATTCAAATAACAATGCAGATCATCAAACCGAAAATGTGAGTTAATAGTACATCTACCCTGGTATCAGAACAAAGTTTACCGAGGAAGGAAGGTTTAGTGTGATGACGAATTGTTGCTTTGGACGCATGAAGGTGGTTTAAACTTCAAAACTGCTAGCTAGGGCTTCCACAAACTTTCGAATGCGTCCTAAACACGTTTTATAGATGGTTTTGAAAGACCTGTCGCAACATCAATAACATCGTCATTTCTCGCAATAGAGGAGCTATATCGTCATCTGTGCTCAACACTATTGGGTTCTGGTGATTCAATTTGTTTCTGAAGCCATTTGGAATATGCTCTTAAGCACTTACTTGCAGAGGTCGATGAGTCATCCCTATGTGTGTGGCCACACGTACATATAAACTGGTAGATACAATGGGCTATTACACCATTTCTCATATGTACTAAGAATTTACATGGATACATGAGCTTCACATTCTCAATTATTCCGAATTTAGCTGCAGAAAAAGTCTTTTCAACCACAGTCTTCAACCTTTGTTGAGTTACCAAGCTGCTATGATCAATCTTTTGTTACAGAGTAACTTGATATATGCGTCTTTCCTAGTGGCGAGTTGCAGAGCGCGTTTGGTGTTCCGCTGACCACTGTATAATATCTTCTTATCGACTTGTCTGGATAATTATTATCAACTAGAGTTCGTGTCAATCTTCTCTCTCTCTCTCTTCATTATCAAGTGTGCTTTCAGTGCATTTACGTTAGATAGTACTGAATAGAAGTAGGAGTAGTGAGGAGGCACCTCACTCACTAAGCCATTTTTGTAGTGAACACGGCAGAAACTGTGACAACTAAGATATTGTCATGTCCAGGTAGGTTTTGCATGAATGGATCGTTTTATTGATCCATTGGACTGTCCATTGACTAGTCAAATATATCTAGGATGGATAAACAATTATCTTTCTCTTCTACAAATATGCTAGGTTCTATGCCATTCTGAACCTCATTTATTCGATTGAAAATTCAGGTGGCAGAACAAGGCTTGTCTCTTATGAATACAATGTCGTTGGCTTATCTTCCATGAAGCGGTACATTTTTGATTAAATCTTGTGATAAACTCTTAGTGTACAACATATAAATATATCTACTAAGAAGGGCTGTAACGGACTTGCCATAGCAACATCATCTATCTGACGAGAGCGATCACCTTCAAGTGTGAATCTAACATTACTAGTACATGAATAAATCCTTTGAATAAGATAAAGGGAATGGAATTAGAAAATCATGTGTGGATATGTAATGACGCAAAATATCAACTGCTCTAAATAAAAGTAAATTAACTAATGAGGTATAATGCATTTATGTATGGGCGAAACGCTATTTGTTATAAAAGGCACTGTCCAAAATGATGTTAAAAAAGGTTATTTCAGTCATATTAGTGTAGGAAAACGGTTTCGCCAAGATGCTTTACAAAATTGATGGGCGGAAAATCGTAGGAGCAATAGAAGGAAGACAGAGACAGTTAAATTCTCCTCATATCATGTAAGTTGTGCCAGTTTGAGAAGTATATTCGTGGTGCCTATGAAGTACCATTCCCGGTACCCGACAACGGTGGTCGCATTCTATACAGTTCTTCAGAGATAATCCGTTCTCCCTGTTCAGCACCAACTTCATGTACAGTAGCAGACATAGAGAGATGTCCATCACCAAGTCGACGAAGGACACAGATGGACCGAATAAAAATGATCTGTCGCTGGCGAGGGTAAATAGAAGTCTGCTGCCACTCCTTCTGGAACATTTGTGTGGAATCCTTTTTGAAGTAAAGGGGCGTGGAGAGAAACACTTATTAACTGACAGACTTTCACTAGAAACAAATAATAACCATGGGATCGTTAGTGAAATCCGAGGAATCCTGTGGAAGAAGCTGTGGTTTGTAGTGGACCTAGTAGCTAGGTAAGTATATAAACGCAATTAAAAGGACAGAACAAGTACTAACAAATACGTGTATATAAAATATTCAGTTCACTTAAGTTAATATACACAAAAATAGGACTGAGGTTATTGGAAGAAAACTATAACAGTCACAAAATACACAAATTATAGACGTACGAAATTATAGGAATGTAATTGTCCTTCTCTTGATTATACAAATTCTCCACTACAACTTAGCGCTGTCAACCGTTGGAAGGATCCACGTAGAGTAAGGCAGATAGGAGCAAAGTTCTTGACGGGGATGTGTCAACCAGTGCGAGGCAGCGTTGGTCAGCAGATGTGCTGGGCGAGCAGCCGGAGAGATGGCGAACGATTCGTTCCTTCCGCGCGGTTCAAGGTTTCTAGGTTGAATTCCTTCTTTTTTTCGTGAACATATAATTTGATATGTTTTTAGGCCGCCACACGGCTCCCCCTCTTAGAAGTCCGGAGGAACTGCTACCGACGATTTGCAGTAGAATTGTGAGAAGAAAAATAATTATAATGCTACAGAACACTATGAGAATACGAAAAAAAAATGGAAAAGATTTTTTTTTACGCTTTAGTGAATAGTTCAACATCAACTTCTGAACTGGAAGTGGGTGGGAGTACAATGGATACATATTACGGAGAGTGAACACGCACACAAAACAAAACAAACAAAAAAAAATATTCTCTTAATAAACACAGGTGAGTATATGTCAGCTCTGTTTATATGACACATGAAAGAAAAAAAAATTGCGAAAGAGATCAATGTTAATTGGAACGATGGCATCAAACTGAATGGCACTAATAATAATAATAATAAGGATAATGTCCGTTAAAACGCTAACCAATATAGTAGTAATTATGGGAGAACAATTGTGAATACATATATACACATATACAGTACTGAGGTAGTAAAAAAAAAATAGCAATGCTTCGGCACAAAAAATGATGTCGTATCTGACACAAATAAACTACGTAAGTCAATAATTAACAACAATAATCAATGATGTATACGTAAAAAAAAATTGTTACAACCTTAAAGATATTAATCAGTAAAGTGTACAAAACGGGCAGGTTTATTAACCTGTCTGCCACTACGAGTAATGCAAGGGGGAGGTAGCATTATTGGTACCTCTGGAGCTTTGGCGGTTTCTAGTTTGTCTGCTGAAGTCGCTGTTGGGATGTCGTCGGCATCTGTGTAGGCAGGTTTGAGTCTATCCACGGAGACCGTCATCTTTTTGCCTTCTTTGTTCACTGTGAAATATTTTTCCGCGCGATGCACTACTGGGTATGGGCCTTCATATGGAGGTTGTAGCCCTTTCCTGACGTTGTCAATCCGTATAAAGACAAATTTACAGGTTTGTAGATGGCTACTTAGGTTTTCTCTGCGGGGACATTGTCTCGGAGCTATTGGTTGAAGCTGTGACATTCGTCTGGTCAGTTGATCAGAAAACTCAGAAATATTCACATTTTGAGAGTCATGAGAGGCTACTAGCTGTCCTGGCAGTGTTAAAGTAGTGCCGTAAACTAGTTGTGCGGGTGTACAACCAAGGTCCTCTTTAACAGTTGATCGTATGCTAAGTAAAATCAGAGGTAAGTATTCACTCCATTTAGATGCATCATTCTGTGCCATCAGGGAGCTT